TACTCTGATGCTGCCTGGCCTGCTGTGTTCCTCCAGCTCCACACTGTTATCTCTGCCCTCATTACTTTGTTATTACTCTTATTTAAGCTTAGCACTGTTGTTTCCAACCTAAGTTGCTCCATCTCAAACTGAATGCTAAATTCTACCTCATTATGGTGACTGTTTCCTAGGAGTTATTTTACTCTGAGATTATTTATTAAGCCTGCTTCATAACACATCACCAGATACAAAATATCCTGATCCCTGGTTGGATGCGCAATGTATCGTTCTCAAAACTGTCCTGACTACACTCATGAATTTTTCATTAGACTTTTCTCTGCCAATCTGATTATCGCAATCTACATGAAGATTCAAGTCACTCATGGCTAATGCATTGACTTTGTTAAATGCTTTCCTGATTTATTTTCTATCCCACTGTATGGCCACTGTTAGGGCCCTATAGACTATTCTTATCAGTGTCTTCTTCCCCTTGTGGTTTCTTACCTGCAATCATATGGTTTCTACAGCTTCTGGTCTGAGATGGCTGCCTGGTCTGGTCTCAGTTGAAATATCCTAGGATACTTGCCTTTTGCCTATCACAGTTGAAGATAAAAGGAAAAGTGTTAGGCCTGCTAATAATGGATGGGGTAACAACAATGTAGAGAAAAGATCTTGGCTCAGAAAACCATGAAGTAGAAACTGCTTAGATGGAAGGGCCATAATGAATCATTTCACACTTTCCTGTATTAAATGTCATGTATTACCTTTCAACCAGTTCCACCAACCTCACCATATCCTTTTGAAGTGGAACTGGAGGAAGTTGTTTATCTGCCTCCTTGCATTAGTTGTAGTTAGAGTATAAATCAGGAAATTAGAGTTGCATGTAATAAGGGTAACAGAGTCATCATGGGACTTTAACCTTCATGTAGACTGGGCAAACCAAATTTGCAGTAATGGCTTAAGGAGAGATTTATACAGTATTACAAGCTAGCTTTTTAGATCAGTGTGTTGAGGAGCCAACTCAGGAACAGGTTTAGATTTTATGTAAAGTATTGCGTAGTGTGCTATAATCAGTTGCAAAGGGGCCTCTAGGGAAGAGTGACAATGATAGAATTTTCTATTAAATTTGAAAGTGGTTTTATTAAATACAAAAATTGGATCTTAAATCTAAACAACTTGTGCACCAAGGGCGAGTTAGCTCAGTTAGATTGGGAAACTACACTGAAGGATGAGGGGACTGAATGTAACCTATCCAGGTTTGCTGGCAGTACAAAGATAGTGGTGAGGAGGATGCAAAGGCTGCAGAGGGATATACACAGGTGTTGGTGAGTGGATCAGAACATGCTGGAGAGAATAAAATGTGAACAAAATGTGAAATCATCCACTTTGGTAAGAAAAATAAAGAAGCAGAATATATTTTGAGTGGTGGGAGACTGGGAAATGTCAGTTTTCAGAGGGATTTGGGTATCTTTGTACACAAATCACAGAAAGCTAACATTCAAGTACAGTAAACAATTAAAGGGGCAGATGGTATATTTGGTACAAAGGGATTGGAGGAAAAGAAGTCTTACAGCTATTTTACAACGGTTTGCAAAGGCTTCACCAGGAGTATTATGTGCAGTTTTGGTCTGTACCCAACAAAAGATATATTTACCCCAAGCAATGCAACAACATTTCACTAGTCTGGTCCCTGGGAAAGAGAATTGTCCTATGAGGCTAGTTCTATTAGATGAGGTCGATATTACTAAAATGTAAAAAGAGTGAGAGGGATTCAGTAGAAGCAGATATCATTCTGTAGTACAGTCTCAGGGTGGACACTGAGGAGAGGTCTCCCCTAGCTGGAGAATCGAGAACACTGAGAAGAAGAAACATTTCTTCACTTAAAGGGTTATGAATCTGACATTTTCTGTCTCAGAGGGTTTGTGGATATCCATTCACTGAGAATATTTAAGACTGAAGTTCATACGTTTTTGATTGCTAGGGGGAATTAAGGGATCTGGGGATAGTGCGGAAATGGGAAGAGTGTAGGAATGGGGATAGTGCAGGAATACTGAGTGCGGGAATGGGGATAACATGTACGAATGGGTTTAGTGCGGAAAAGTTGAGGTAAAGATGGATCATGATCTCATTGAATGGTGGCAGAGGCCAAACAGCCTAAGTCCAGCCCCTATTCCGTTATGTTCGCACTGGCAGGTTTTAACAGGCCCCAGCAATGGCTTTGCAGGGGCAACAAAAATTCCCAGGTGTCCTTCCCTCCACCATCATACCCACATCTGCCCATAAATCTCTGAAGGACAGATGAGTCCTGAGTGACCACATGCTCTTGTCCTCATTGATGTTCTTTAGTGGTCAATCAATGGTCACTTAAGGGCCACCTCCCTTTCAGCTTCAATTTTGAGGCTGGTAGAAAGGGATCAGGAAGGCTCCATCACCAGCACCTCTACCATTCCGCGCACCCCCACCCATATCTTGCATGATGCCCCTGTTGCTCCCTCACTCTCCACCTCGACTCTGGCTTCTCAATCAAGACTTGCACTGTCCCATACCCTGCTTACCCCCACTCCCCAGGCCTCACCTTCCTTCTCCACCACAAGAGAATCTATGCTGACCCCCCGTCCTACTCTGTGACTCCTTGTAGTTCAGCAGTAGCCACTGCCCACGATCAATTGGCCAGTGTTCTGTTGAGTGAGGAGTGGATTCCCTATCTTCAGCAACAAACACTTGTCAGAGCTTTAAATAGCTGCAGGGCACCCAATATAAGCAGGGGTGCATTCCCTAGCAACTCCTTTAATAGTGGGACAGGAAATCCCACCACCCATTAAATCCCAGATAACAAGGTGTGGAGCTGGATGAACACAGCAGACCGAGCAGGAAAGCTGACGTTTCGGGTCTGGACCCTTCTTCAGAAATGCATTTCTGAAGAAGGGTCCAGACCTGAAACATCAGCTTTCCTGCTTGGTCTGCTGTGTTCATCCAGCTCTATACCTTGTCATCTCAGATTCTCCAGCATTGGCAGTTCCTACTATCTCTGAACCCATCAAATCCTAGTGTGTGCTGTAATGACACCTCTAGCAACAGGTGGCGATGGTGAAGGAGGGAACCATACACAGGAGTCAATCAACCATGTGGACCCTCTTTGAAAGAAAATAAGTGGGTCTTGATCTGGAAGAACCCTCAGGATGTGAGAGAGAGTAGAGACACACAGAGAGAATTTCATCAACCAGATGTGAACTACAGCCTTAATTCCATGTAAATACTCTAGTTTAACCTTAATTTCTCTTCATGCTTGTAAACACCTGATGCCAGTGGAATAAAGAAGCCCTGCTTCATGATCTTCTGGTTGTCTATGTGCTGAAACTTCATGTCATGCTAGTATGGGAATCTTTGGTGTGTATTCTGGTGAGTGTATGGTTGTATGGATGTTTGCTGTGTGCATGTGGTATGTACCCCCACCCTTGCATACCACGTGCTGTGTACAGGCATGAATATGTTTAATATCATTATCTCCACTCACTGTTACAGGGTGAACCAGGAGTAACAGGACCATCTGGAAATGCAGGCCGGCCAGGCTTTGAGGCAAGTTTGACAATTTTTTAATTGCTTATGTAGTTCTGAAACTTCATTTTCCAAGCATCTCCTACACCTCACTCCCACTACCCAACAATATGGACTGTTTTATTCAAGCCCTGAGTGTGGTGTCCAGAGACTCGTTGTCAATTTTGCTCCCAATTTGTACATTGAAGCAGCCTCACTGCACAGCCTTTCAAAAACTCACTTGAAAGTTGCACATTCGACTTGGAAGCTGAGGTTCCCCAGATTATACACACCTCTTGGATATTGGCTGCACTCCTGTCTCTGTCTCCAGAGCATCCAGATTTGTATTGCTCCATCAATGTTAGCCTGGGCTGTTGCTGTCACACAGTCCTTAAACCTCCTCCGTCCCCTGTCCTAATCTCTGCTTATGTTGCTCAGTGTCAGATTGTGTTTGATCATCGCCTGTGAAGCAGTTTGGGATGCTTAACTGTACTAAAGGTGCCAGATATGAGAACATTGGATCATTTCTTTCATCCATCAACTTCCAACGTTGTTTTGAAGTGGGCAAGCGTGGGAATGGGAATACTGAATCGCAGAAAGGTGCAGCTCCGAAGGAGGCTATCTCACTGAAGGAACAATTAACCTAGTGCCGCTCACCCACATTCTCAGTATACACATTCTTCCTTCCCAGATGATAATCCTATTCCATCTTAAGTCCTTCAATTGAAGCTGCTCATTGGATAAGACATTTCACATTGTGTTGCCATTACACTTTTACCAATCACCTTAAATCTGTGCCATCTGTTGCGAAGCTGGGTACAGTACTTGTGGATTGGGAGGTAGGAAGTAAGAATTTGTTGTCTGTAAAATGCTAGGGGGGGTGGGGAAGCATTGCATGGTCCCTTTAAAAGATTGTGTTTTTCTGTGCTGAGAAATTTAAAATGGATGCCTGTGAACAGCAGCTTGAAAGTTTGCAAGTACACAGAGTGCCTGAATTGATATATTCGTATCGAAAGGCCATGCAATTATCAGGCCAAGCCACAGTTTTTTTTACCAAGACAACAAGTTTTTGAATTTAGCCAATCAATTTAGATACTTAGATACCAAAAACCTATCAAATTTAAATCTGATGTTTTTGACAACATAGGACCAATCCTATTGTAAGAAATATTGATAGTCAACAAGGTTATAAAAAGAAGAGGACAGTTGGGCAAAGACAGCAGAGCTAGCTGCCATCCACCAGAGTTAACGCCCTCAGCTCTCGAGAGAATCACCGGCTCTCAGAACCTCCTCTATCTTAGACAAAGCACCATCTAAATAACAATAGTACCCAACGACACAACAGGTTAATATTCCTGACAGAAGAATCAGCAGAGAAGGCACAGAACATTCCAGAAGACTCATAACCTGGCTGTAATTTTGAGAGACTAAATTATTTTTTTAATATAGGTGGTACTTGTATGTATTGGAACAGTATACCATTAGAATCTTGCTTTATTTGGGAATAGTTAGTAATTAGAAGGGATATATTCTGTTTGTTGATAGGTTAGTTAATTTGTTCACTCTTAGAATTAAATAAATACATTGTTACTTGTTGATTGTAAAGTAGGTGTCAGGGTTTATTTTATTTAACCACTAGAAGTTGCTGAAAGGCAGGTTACACCACTTTTCACACCCCTTTTACAGATTATAGGATGAGGTGCTCCTCTTTGGGTGTTTCGGTTGCAGTTCTCGAAGGGGGATCAACCTCTGCTTTATAACACTTCTGTTTTTCAACCCGTCCACCAATGAGAACACAATCTGGCACTGAGCAACACAAGGAGAGATTAGAATGGGGGAGGAAGGAGATTTTGAGGAGCATGTGAGTGGAGGTAGGGGAGAATAGAAGTAGAGAGATTTAAGGAGGGAATTTCAGAGCCAGGCCCAGGTCAATAGTGATAGAGTAATACAAATCTGGATGCTTGAGAGGTTGCAGCACAGCCAGTGTTTTATACAGTTAAGGATAACCTCTTTAGGAACACAGGAACAGGAATAGGCCATTCAGCCCCTCGAGTCTACTTCACCATTCAGTAATATCATGGCTGATCTATGGCCAAATTCCATGTACCTGCCTTGGGCCCATATCCCATAATACTCTTGATTAATAAAAATTTGTCGATCTCAGATTTAAATTTTTCAATTGACTTAGCATCAACCATCATTTGAGGGAGAGAATTCCAAACCCTCATTACTCTTTGCGTGTAGAAGTGCTTTCTAACATCCCTTCTTAATGGCTTGGCCATAATTCCTAGACATTGACCCTGGCTGTGGAATCTTCAACCAGTGGAAGTAGTTTATCTTTATTTACCCAGTCTTTCCCTGTTAATATCCTGAAAACCTTGATTAAATCGCTCCCTTAACCCTTTCAATTCTAGAGAATTAAAGCCCAATTTGTGGAGTCTCTTTTTGCTTTTATAGTCTATGAACTTACTAGTACTTGAATACTGTATGAATTTTTTAACCAATCTTTCAACCTAGCTTGTCACCTTCGATGACTTATGCACATATACACCCAGATCCCTTTGCTCCTGCACCCCTTTTAAAATTGTATCTTTCTTTTATTTTCTCTCATTGTTCTTCCTGCCAAAATGAATCACTTCACACTTAATACTTTGCATTAAGTTTCACCTGTCACTTGTCTTTCCCCTCCACCAATCTTTCTATGTGCTTTCGAGGCTCAACACTCCTCTTCACTGTTCACAATGTTTCCAAGTTTTGATTACCCTTCACAGATTTTGAAATGGTCTGCTGTACCCCAAGGTCCATGATATTAACATATATCAGGAAAAGCAGGGATCCTAACAGTAACTCCTGGGACACTCTACTATAAACCTTCCTCCAGTTAAAAAAAAAACTTGCAGTAACCCACAACTCAGTTTCCTGTCACTCTGACAGCTTTTTATCCATGTTGCGACTGTCCCTTTATTCCATGAGCACTGACATTGTTCCTCATTCTGCTGTTCTATGTTCTATGTGGCACTTTATTGAATGTATACTGGAAGTCCATATACACAACATCAACAGCATTACCATAATCAATCCTCTCTGTTATCTCATAAATCCATGCTGTTTTTCCTTAGTTAATGAACATTTACCCAACTAACTATTAATTTTGCTCCAAATTATCGTTTCTCCAAGTTTTCCCATTATGTGAATGTAGGTATTTTCAATTTCTGTCATCTAGCAACACCCCAGAGTCTGAGGAAGACTGGAAAATAATGGCCAGTGCCTCTCTGGTGCCCACCTACATGCCAGTGATATCTGTCTCGTTGTGGGCCGTGTGGAACATTCTTTGATCCAGTTCTTCTTGGGCTCCCCTCCCACATGCCTTTCTCCATTCCATCAAAACATCATTGGTGCTGTCTCCTGTCACACAAAATTGGAAAAATTCATCAATTTTCTGACATATTCCCATCTTTCTCTCCCAGACACCCAAAATTGTTATTGTGCAGAGGGGGGGCCATATGTTCCATCATCTCTCCACGGCTCTCCAAATTCACATCATGGCTTAGTGCCATTCTTCTGCCTTTCCCCTATCTCTTGACATAGTTTCTATTTAAATAACCATCCATGTCCTATTCAAAGCCTCAAATTCAACCAATGTTTCCAGGCTGTGAATTCCATGCCCTAACTACTCACTGTCTGAAAAAGATTTTTCTCCTGTCATATTTACTTCTTTTGCAAATCACTTTCGACTTGCGCACTCTCATTCTTGATCCTTTTGCAAACAGGAATAGTTTCCCCCTATATACCATATCCAGGCCCCGCATAATCCTGAAAACTCTGTTAGATCTTCTCTTAGCGTTCTTCTCTCTGAGGAGAACCATCTCAACCTTTCCAATATATCCTCATCTCTGGAACCATCTTATAAAACTCTTCCCATTTTTACCTTTGTCTCTTCCTGCATTAACCTTTCTGTTTCCGTTTCTGAGGATAGGCTATCCACCAATATCCATTACAAGGCCCACCAACTCCCATAATTACCTCAATTGTACCTCCTCATCCTGTTTCCTGCAAAGATTCCATTGAATTCTATTCTCCCAGTTTCTCTATCTCCATTTTATCTGTTCTGATGATGTCAACTTCCACTGGGCTGCCTCTTGAATGACCTGCTTTCCCCTCAACTGAGGATTCCTCTTCAATGTGGTTGATAGGGCCTTCAACTGTGTCCGACCCATCTCCTGCTCTTCTGCCCTCACCCCTACGCTCCTTAGCAGAACAACGGGAGGTTTCCCCTTGTCCTCACCTTCTGCACCATTTATCTCTACATTCAAAGGATCACCCTCCGCTAATTCCACCTCCTCCAGCAGGATACCACCATCAAACGCATCTTTCCCTCCCTCCATTATCAGCATTCCACAGGGACTGTACCCTGCACAATACCCTAGCCCACTCCTCCATCACTCCCAACACCTCCCCACTCGCCCATGGCACCGTCCCATGCAACCGTAGAAGATGGAACACTCATCCATTCACCTCTGCTCTTCTCGCTGTCCGAAGTCCCAAACATATCTTCCAGGTGAAGCAGCGTTTCACTTGTACTTTTTCAGTCTAGTCCATCTGTTCACTGCTCACAATGCAGCCCCCTGTACATTGACAAGACTACACTAAACACTGACTGGGTAACTGTTTTCTGGAACACCTCCATTCTGTCTGTAGGAATGACCCTGACCACCCAGTTACTTGCCATTTCAGTAACCCACCTTGCTCTTACATTAACATTTCTGTCCTGGGCCAGCTGCAACGTTCCAATGAAGCACCTCACGTGCTCAAGGAACAAAGCTTCATTTTCCGGTTGAGCACTTTACAGTTTTTGAGACTCAAGACTAAACTCTACAACTCCAGAAAATATGAACTGCCCTCTATTTTGTTTACATTTTCCCATGCCTTAGTGTCTTATTTGATTCCACTGTTAGTGTCCTGGATTTGCTGTCAACAGAGTTGACCTTTTTTCTAACATTCAAACCTACCATTAACAGCTGTTCTGTATCTATATCCCTATCTATATCTATATCCCTATATACCATTAACATTCCTTTTGTCTTTTGCTCTGGGCATCATCACCATCTGTTCCACTCACTCATCCTCCCACTTTGTCAATGGTATAAAAACCATCATTTCCAGATTCCTTCTGTGCCAAAGAAGAATCTTACCAGAGTCTAAACATTAATACTGTTTCTCTTTGCACAGATGCTGCCAGACCTGCCAAGATTCTCCAGCACTTTGTGTTTTTACATCCTACTCTATTGATGTCAGCTTTCCAGTTAATTATGTTTTATTCAAGATTGTTCCTTGCCCTTTTTCCATAGTCAACATAAACCTTATGATATGGCGATTGCTGTCTCCCTAAACAGTCCTTTGCTGTGTTTTATTTTTCCAAATTGCTTCTGAAATGAGACTGGATTGAAAGTGCTAGCAGTTAACTCAAACAAGGTAGAAGGGTTTGTGACACAGGCAGTGCTGCTCACCATTGTTAGAATGGTGGATGGAAACAGACCTCGGATCCAGGTAGAGGATGAGTGACTGTGTGGATTGCATTTGTTTGCAGGGAGAGCCTGGTCCACCAGGACCCGTGGGACCTCCAGGACTTCCTGGACACGTGGTGAGTATCATTAAAAACCAGCTTAGTGTCATGTTTCATCAGGGCATTCTGAAAAGTGCCTGCTTCACCATGTGTGATTCCCCAGCGAACTTTCCAGGAAACTAGAGAATTCCACCAGAGTTACAGAGTACAAAACCCACAAAGAACACTTTGTGTTGCCTCGAATTTCGTCCGTGTCAATTCCACCATCAACAGATGCAAAAGATCCCCAACTGCAGCCTCCAAACCCAGGGGCTGGGCTCACCTCCTGGAAGGGCCAGCTTTTCAGTCTACAAGGAGAGCTCAGGCCCAAAGTGGAGCTCTATAAGCACAGGGCAGACTGGGGGTTTCTGGGGCCCATGGGGCTGAAGGGACAGCATCCCATTATCACTGAGCCAATGTGCCTGACAACACAGTTACTGCATGTGGGATTCACTCACGTTTACATTCACTGCTTGGTCTGCTCTTCTGACATTCTGAAAGTCAGATAGGCTAAGTACCCTTGAATGGGACAGCACCAGAGGTGATCACTTCAGCCATCTAATTGGTCCCACATTCCATTGCCCTGCATATGATCCTCTCTTCAAATATTTGTCCAGTCTCTTTGGAAAGTCATTGTTGAATCTGTAACCATCAAACTCTACTGAAAATCACAAATGCTGGAGATCACAGCAGGTCAGGCAGCATCCATGGAGGGAGACAAGCTAACGTTTCATGTCTAGATGACTCTTCATCAGAGCTGGTGGTATGGAGGGGACAGCATTTATGCTATAGTTTTGTGGGGTATGGGTGTGGCAATGGGGGATGGGGGCTGGGAGGTGTTGGTAGTGGGTGTAGGGTACTGGTGGAGAAAAGATGTTGATAGTTCAGGTAAAGTGATCAGAATGTGAGAATGGCAGAACAATAGAGTGTCTACTGGCCAGACTTGAAATGACAGGAACTGGGATGAGGGGGCCAGGAGAACCTACTACCCACACCCCACAATAATATAGCCCCCTCCAAACTTCACCAGCTCTGATGCAGAGTCATCTAGACTCGAAACGTTAGCTTGCGCTCTCTCCATGGATGCTGTCTGACCTGCTGTGGTCTCCAGCATTTGTTACTCAGTACAGATTCCAGCATTCGCAGTAATTTGTTCCTAGCATTAAACTCTACATTCGAGATTACAGCAGCAATAAACAGTGGAGGAGAAACCCAGGAACCTCCCAAGTCACCCTTTTGATGTGGGGTTATGGAGGTGGGTGTTTGCAGGCAGAATATCTCCCTGCAGCTGACCTGCCCCCCTCCTCTCTCCTGCATTGAACCAAGCAGAGTCTCAGAGTACTGGGTCTTCATTAATCCTTGCTGCTAACTGCCCCTTTCCAGGCCTGGGCTCTAACCTGGGTTCTGTCTGACCCTGCAAAGTGCTAGAGCTGTTCAGAGTATTGTCAGGCACCTCTCTGTATGAGCACAGGGGCTGGCCATCTGAAAGCACACCGACTAGCCCTCTCCTGCCTTTGACCACGTTTTCTCAATCTCAGGGTGCAGCTGGTATTCCAGGAGCTCCGGGCCCCACAGGACCCCCAGGAGTGGTGAGTCAAAACAAGTGATTGGCAGATCAGCCCAGCTCCCTTTCTCCCTCTTAGCATTCTCTCTCCCTCTGTCTACCTCTGTTGCACTGTTACTGACAGTAAAGCTTCCTGTCACACGCATTCTCTCTGCCTCTCTCTCTCTCTGTTACATCATTACTGTCTTCCTCCCCACAATATCTCTCTCCGTCTTGCTCCCTCACTTTCTGTTATAACATTATTGACATCGTAGCACTCTCTCTCCATATCCTCTCCCTCAATCTCTGTTAACAACATTACTGACAGTGCCGTGTCTCCCTCTCTCTTAACATTCTTTCTCTTTCATTACAAGATGACTGGCAGCACAGCTCCCTGCCCATCTATGTGAAACCATCACACACAGTGCATGTCCCTCCTCTATCTCTCTTTCTGTCTCTCTCAAGCCACCACTAGCAGTACAGTTCCCTCCCTTTCTCTTGCTTTTTCACATTCTCTCTCTCTCAGTTTAAACTCGCTGACAGTATAGCTCCCTACCTATCTATCTCACTCTGTCACATTCTCTTTCTCTGTCTCTAATAAACCGTCTCTGACAGTGTCACTCCCCTTCTCTTGCGCTCTCACATCCTGTCCCTCTCTGTGAAATCATCACTGACAGTGCTGCTGTCTCTCTCTCTCTTGCTCTCTCACTCACATTCTCTCTCTCTCTCTCTGTTAAACCATTACTGACAGTACAGCTCTTTCTCTCTTTCTGTTTTTATCATGGCCTCTTCGCTGCCTTTGTCACCATGCCAACCTGCATAATTATAAATTCAGTGCTAGCTTCTGTGCTCAGTTTAAGATTTCTCTGGTATCTGACTGTTTTTCCCTGTTTGGCTGTATTTAGGGAACAAAGGGTGATCGAGGAGCGTCCGGAGAAAGAGGTCTCCCTGGATTGGTGGGACCCCCTGGACCGCCTGGAACTCCTGGGCCGATGGTAGGTTCCTAGGTTTTGGCGGTTGGTGTTTGACAAAATGGTCACTGGTAACACAGCCCTGTCCAGGTAACCAGGTTAGCTGCTCTGAGGCTCGGGGTGTAATACCATTCAGCTTTGACTGCACTGTCAATTCTTCTGTCGTCTAGCGTGGGCTGTGTCCTCCTGGTTTCAGAAAGCTCAGCTTTTATGGCCAAGAGGTGCGTGTGGGAAACACACATTTCACTGTTAACATGATTACGTTTAAATTGTAAGTGAAAGCAGAAGGGGTTTAAATGGTTCACTTTGAACAGGATCCTCATTTCAGACACTGGGGGAGGTGATGGCCTCATGGTATTATTGCTGGACCTTTAATCCAGAGATCCAGATAATGTTCTGGGGACACAGGTTCGAATCGTGCCATGGCAGATGGTGGAATTTGAATCCAATAAAAATCTGGAATTAAGAGTCTAATGATCGCTGGCTTTGAACCCATTGTCAATTGTTGGGAAAAACCCGTCTGGTTCATTAATGTCCGTTAGGGAAGGAAACTGCCTTCCTTGCTTGTGACTCCATACCCACAGCAATATGATTGACAGCTGCCCTGGGTGATGAGGCTTGGGCAGTAAATGCTGGCCTAGCCAGCGACGCCCACATCCCATCAATGAGTAAAATAAATACACTTTGGCCTGACTCAGGACTGGTGCTATCTGCCGTTAGCAGGCTTCGAAACAAGCTCTCATTTGTATTTATCCTCAGGATGTGAGTGTCACTGGTGAGGCTGGCATTTATTGGCTCTAATGCATCACCTACAATTGTGTGGCTTACCCAGGCACTCAGAGGGCTGCTGAGAGTCGCCACATTGCTATGGGTCTGGAGTCTGCTCTTCCTCTGGGAGTCCCTCAAGACAAGGAGGGTTTGCTTGCTACAGCATACCCTGTGGCTGGAGCTTTTTATCATGGGGGAGGCTGTACATTGCAGTGACCATACATGGGGTTCTGGCTGACCAGGAATATGTTCTAGTCTCCTTGCCTGCCAGAGATGTATTGAGAAGGTTTGGAGGTTCTCAGACAACTGGTGTGGCCTAGTGATATTCACACAAACCCTTTGGTCATTCAGTCACAGGCTGGGTCTGAATCCAGACCTTCTGGTTTAGAGGCAGGGACGCTGTCCACTGCACCTCCGTAGGTGTTATCTGGAGTCACACAGAGACCAGAGCAGGTAAGGAGAGTAAAATTCCTTAATGGGCATTTATGAGCCAAATAGAATTTTAGGATCATCCAATGGAGTTACCACCATCATGAATTAATTTAATTATTCATGAATTATATTTAAATTCCACCAGCTGCCTTGGTGGGATTTGAACCCACATTCCTGAAGAACATTAAGCTGAGAATTAGATTCCTAGTCCAATACCATCGTACCCCTGTCCCATTTCTGCTGATGACTGTACTGCTGGATGGCTCAATACACCAGATAGACAACAGAATACGGCCTGGTATAGATAGGGAGGAGGGATCGCAGAGAAGCTGAGAAACCCATTGTCCAAAGAAACAGGATGCTCACCACAACCTCAGGTAAACAAATCACTGCAGACCTCTGCACAATAGCCTGCGGAATCAATACCTGACCTGCGTGTGTTTGGGTGGGGAGCGTGAGGCCGTGGAGTTGGTCTCTAACAATCAATCTGCAATGGATTGAAATTAAGCCACTGAGTAACTTGGCCAAACTCAGAGAGAGTGTCCTCGATAAAGTTCAAAGAACAATGTTCAAGATTGAACCTTCAAACTTCTATCTGTATCTAATCACTCTCTATGTTCTTATATTTCTTTAGGGAGAGCCTGGTCAGGATGGTACAGCAGGAAAAGAGGTAAGATGGGACACTAATTATATCTATTCCATGTGTGTACTGACCTCAGTCAAAAGTGGATTACTTTATGAGGTCAGGAAGATGGAGTGTTTTAAAGTCATTCTCATGTATTCACAGTATGACTGAAGGAGTCTGGATAATCTGTCAAATTCCAGAAAATCAGGTAGTGAAGGATAAAACTGGAGCTAATCTTCCAATACTTCTACATGCATTTATTTACGGAGAGGTACACATTAGATACACTCACCTCACAACTCAGCAAGCAACACTTCACTTTGTCCCTTGGTGCAAGGTAATACCATGTACAGCTAAATACAACTCAAGTTCCTCTTGTGAAGGAAGTTTTAGACTTCAGGTTTAAACTTAGTACTCCAATGTGACACCCTTCCTCTTATTTGACTCATTCCTTCTGTAAACAACCAGGACATCGAAAATTTTCCCTACACCTTATATCACTGAGAGCTGGGAATAACCTCCAGTGTGTCATCCCCACAGGAGAAACTCTGTTCTTCCTCTCTGATCCTGAAAGGAAACAAATGCCAGGTTTTTGTGCCACTTCCCTTTCTTCAGCCATTTTCTCCCTTTTCCACAAGTGGTCATTCTTCACATAAGTCTGAACCACCTGGGTGAGTGGGCTGATCAACCACAGGGGTCATCACAAATGTTCTCACTAAACCAGAGCACACACTTACATTGTTCTCTCAACGTTTAGCAATTTTGTACCCCGTATGCAGTTGCTTGTCAAGCCTTCACATTCTGATCACAGTTATGGAATTGTAGACTGATGCAGCACAAGGAGATAATTTAGTTTAAAAACTGAAAGAACTGCAGATGCTGTGAATCAGGAACAAAAACAGAAGTTGCTGGTAAAACTCAGCAGGTCTGGCAGCACCTGTGAAGGAAAAAGTCAGTAAATGTTTCAGGTCCAGTGACCCTCCCTCAGAACTGAACTCAGAAATTAGTTTATTCTGCTGATGTTTTAAAGTTATCCAAATATCTATTCTCATATTCTTTCCCCATTATCCTGCAAAGATTTCCCTTGCTAGTAATGATGCATTTCCCTTTGGAAACTTGCTATTGAATATATTTTACACTTCCTTCCCTGGTTTTTGAAGAAGGGCCAAATATTGGCAATTCTCCAAACCTCTGGCACCTGAAGAGATGAACAAAATTGTGGCCAGATCCCTGGCGATTTCCATTGGTGAATCCTGTTCAGAGTTCGTGATCTTTCTAAATTGAGGACTGTCAAATTTCAAGTAGCTACCTTTTATCTATTTTATCCAATTCAATATTGCTACTGCTTCCTTCTTTATTGTTACATTAACAACAGCAGCAGTTTCTTGTTGTGGTACGTGGTATGTGATTGTATACATAAAATTATCGCTTGAAATTTGGATTTTAAAATTGAAGCAGACAGGTTTTGGTTGGTTGTGTAAAGGTTTTTCCAGGAAACGTCAGGAAGTAATTTGGGACAGTAAATATATTGTTTCTAAGAAGATGTGAATTCCTTCAATTGCCTGGACATATACCTGGGATGTTAAAGGATAACATCATTATACTGCTGAGTTTATGACAGACAAAACAGAAGCAGTGCTGTTAATTTAGCTTTCATCTTCAGTTTGGAAGAGAGACAGTTTTCTCTAAGCAGGCGAATCAGCCCAGAGAATCAATCATCCTAGCCAAAGTGTTTTTAGTCCATGGAGCTTCTAAGCCTGGAGAGTTTGTACCACGTTTGTTTATATAACAGTCTTTAAGCTTTTAGAGGGAAGAACGTTTTTGGCCATTAACATTGTGAATGTTTCATGCTAGTGGACTCAGAAAATAATCATAAAACCACCTCAGCAATGCAAGGGAAAGAAACAGAGAGGAATCAGTTTAAGTGGAAG